AACGCTGGACATATTTAAGACCGTAAATCAATATGGTGGCTAGTTATAATGTCCCTATGTTAGCTATGTTTTGTGAAAGACTAAACGCCATTGTCCATAAAAATACCACAGAAAGAAAGTTAATCAATATCACACGGAGAGTGCCAGTTTTCACCTCTAAAATCAGCAAGATTACAAACGTGATTTCATTCAACAGTTCAAAAACAAGAAGGTAATATTATGAGACTTACGCTTTAGACACTATATTGCCTGTTTTTGTTTATTTTAAGAGATCTATCTTATTATCTCTTGCATATTTAGTATTGCTCTTTAATAAAGAAAAATGACTTCTTATCTGATCACTCGATTAATCGATGGAATAATCTGTAGAATACTCGATTACTAAAATAATCGATAGCTACAGCCCTAGTACAAATTTTGTCAATTTGTTAAAAACAGGTGTGAGAACAAGACTCTGTAAGGCAGGTTTTGTGTACAATCTATTCTAAATAGTATGCGTGATTTAGAAATTATATGTATCTCGAGTTTTTTAAGTTTGCATACTTTTTGGTTAATATATCACGTTCTCTTGCATAGTGTTGAATGTAAGGTCAAGGCTCCCACAAGAGGGTTTATTCTCCAAATAACTCTAATTTCATGTTGCAGAACAATGTGTTTAAAAATTGTGTATGGTCTCTTGTTCCTGACAAACAATATAAAAACAGACCTCACATAGGGCTAAATGCATAGCATTTTCGTAAAACTGCTAACGTTACAGCAGCGGGGAAGATGAACGTGCGTGAGTTATTTTATTTAATCTGTGTTATTTTAAACATAGAGACCTAAAATATAGACCTAAAACATAGAGACTCTGATGTTAATGTGTCTGCATTCAATCATTTCAGTGGGCTTAAACAGATCACCCTTTACAGCAGATTTAGTTCACAAACAACTGACAGTTTTGACCTAAATATGCTTTTCAGTTACAATAATTAATCCTAAAATTCGACATTAGTAACTTACTTTTAGCAGCATCAGAAGCGCGCGCGCTCACAAGATTTCCCGGTTCTTACTTCTGAGTTCAGTTCACTGGAGACTCGCACTAAACGGTTCATTTGAATCAGTGAGTTGTCGACTCGAGAACAGCTGCAATCGGATCATTCCAATTCGTGAATGAATCGTTTGGTGCGATTTGCGAACCGATTTAACGGGTTCATTGAAAAGAATCAGTTCGTTCATGAATCAGATACCACTTCTGCGTCTCGGAGCGTGTGATATATTATAAGGAGTAACGATATGTTTTATGAAATGTAGTGAAGTAAAAAGTACGATCTTATGCTTTGGAATGTAGTGAAGTAAAAGTAAAAGTTACTCAAAATAAAACTACTCCAGTAAAGTACAGATACTTGAAAAATGTACTTAAGTACAGTAACGAACGGAGTAGCTTTACTTCGTTACTGTACTTAAGTACATTTTTCACTACATTTCATAAAACATATCTTTACTCCTGCAGAAGCGGTGTCTGATTCATGAACAAACTGATTCTTTTCAATACTTTATATGCAACTTCTGCAAAGATTAATTTTATTGATACTGATTTCATTTGTTTAGTAACAGCCTAAATGTCTTATTATTATAATTGACCGATTAAATGTAAGAATTTGGCTTAAAAGATGATGCACACTTTTAGAAAAAAAGGCTTTATAAAGGTAAAAATGCCCGTAAAATGCAAAAATCTATTTAAACTTATTGGAACAGATTCATTTCTATCACTGCTGTGAACTGACCCGCACTCAGAATATCAAAAATATCAAAAACAAGTTTTACACACACACACACACACACACACACACACACACACACACACCACACACACACACACACACACACACACACACACACCAGTATGTATAGGGACATTTAAGAGTCCAAATAACCCAAATAACTCTAATTTCATGTTGCAGAAAAATGTGTTTAAAAATCATGTATGGTCTCTTGTTCTTGCTCCAAGTTACCTTCCTGTCCACTGATTTTTGCCTCTCACAAAAGCCACAAAGCCTTCCAAGAAGACAGTAAAGGCTTATGTCATGCTTGAGTTTTAGTTAGGCTGAAACTTGAAAGTTCCGTTGCACGACATAAATGCAATGTTTAGGCATTATTATTATTTTTATTACTATTATTTTGATTTATGCCTTTGTTTTAGTTTGTACTGTTTACCTTTTTTAAATTAATGTGAAATAGAATTTTTTTTTTTTATATTTTATTTTATTTATTTTATTGATATATTTTGTATTTGCATTTTGAATGTAATTTGGAAATTAAATGCATTAAATGGGTTTAGTTTTCACGGTTATCAATGTATGTAATTT